TGAGATCATCGGCAGTGGAATCGACATTCACAAAATTATTGGCAAATTACCAAAACCAAAAGACGGTTGGACCTTGCCAGGTCACAGGTATACAGGACCTTATAATCCGCTAGATCAACAACTGGATGAGAACGATGATCCGCTGCCAGGACAAGAGCCTTACAATCAGGTGATGCAATAGCAATGCGTCATGCTATCTCTTATCGCGATCACGAAAACTCGAAGGCAGAATGCGTTAAAGTGATGTTAGACGAATTACGTGACATGGAGCCGACAAACATGAATGAATGGATTGATAGAAGATTTGTTCAAGGAATGATTGGAGCAAAATACAAATTAGGGCTTGGAAAAGAATGATACGATGATCTCGCAGCCGAACTACACAGACCTAAAAAAACGTTTACGAGAAGTAAAGTTGTCGCAAATGCTGTAGATGATAAATGGGTAATAGATTTGGTGGATGTATCCAATCTAGCTCAAATAAAATCTGGACTGATCATGCAGCAGAGTTTTTTTAACAAAAAGTTTGAGCAGTTTTTAGAGCATAATAATATTTTTAAAAAATATGTTGCAGGAAACGAAGGCAAAAGCTTTGTAGTTGAAAGATTTAATCGCACGCTAAACGAAAAATACAAACATTTGACAGCTAAAAATACGAACAGATACATCGATGATCTTTCTCAAATTGTGAACAAGTACAATAACACGAAACATCGCGAGAAAGGAAAATGTCACCAAACGGTGCTATTAAAAATCCGATATTAGCAAATGAAAACATGTATCGCAGACATAAATTTAAAATTGCTGATAAAGTTCGGATTTCTCTGACGAAAAAGATATTTGAAAAAGAATTTACTCCGAACTGGAGCGAAGAAGTATTTGTCGTTTACAAAGTACTTTTGACAATACCTGTAACATACGCATGAAAAGATCTGGCAGGGGAACTTATCGTAGGAAGTTTTTAGGAACAAGAACTTCAGAAAACTGAACAAGATGTTTTCGTGATTGAAAAAGTGATTATAAAAAGATAATGTTGCTGTGGGGTTTAACGCCATTTTTCAGCAAACGATATGATATACATGGCGGCCAGTATTAATGGTGGAGGAAGAAACCGGGAAATCACCGGAAAGAACCACCGACCCACGAGAAGCTCCTGGCAAGCTTTCTCACATATTCACATTCGCTGACAGTATAATAAACGTAACAATAAAACGTTCTTCTGTTATCGCCGCTTGTACGGTTGTACAGACAACGAAACATTACAGAAGCATTTGCAGTACTATAGTGATGTACAACGAATAACAATGCCGTCTAAGAAAGAGAGGGTGTTACAATTTGTCCATTGCAATCATAAACTAAAAATTCATTTCGTTATATACGCTAATTTTGAATGCTTACTTCAACCTGTGCTTGGCGTAGAAAATAATCATGACCAATCGAGTACAAGGAAAACTCAAAATCATGTTCCGTGTGGGGTTGCGTACAAGATAGTTTTAAGAAGTTTGAGGGCCCAAGGCACAAACTCTAACATTAAAAGTAATAAGAATTGCGCCTCAGTCTCTCAGTCTAAAGATATAGAGTATTGTATTGCATTTCTATGTGCATGTGTGTCATTTTGTTGAATTTATTAATATAGTACCAAATTGCTAACACAATTGACATCGAAATTTTGTTTTTGGGCCGCCGAGGGGCCCCCTGATGAGCGTGGCCCTAGGCACATAGCTCGCGTGCCTATGCCTTAAAACGGCACTGATGCCAGTCAATACGACACAGGTTCGTTCCTTTCTAGGTTTGATAGGATTTGATAGGAAGTTTACACCAAATTTTGCGGCCAAAGTTAGTTCATTGTCTGATCTGAAAAAGAAGGAGCAACTAAATAAAGTGTTGTGGAGACTATCACAAGAAAGGGCTTTTTGTACCCTCAAAGAAAAGTTGATCCGTGCACAGTTACTGAAGCTATCCGATGTAGGCAAATTTTAAGAACTGGTGTCTCTGACAACTGATTGGGAGTAGACTTGATGCAGGAGCAAGATATGGCAAAGTTGCCATTGGCTTATGCGAGCAGAAAATTGCTGCATAGGGGAAGAAAAAAAACCTCAACTCCTTTTCTTTGACATCGGCGAAACGAATCATCAAACTCTGAACATTCAATTTTATTTAACGTTACATAGTGACAATTCTATGAATGCATTTCCTAGCAACAAATTATGTTGTTTCGCGGCCAAATTACATCAGTCCATATAACTGGATCACGAAGTTTATTGGGAAATGGCTTTGATAGAAATTCATCCGACTCAAGTCTGGAAGATTGCTGAAGATGAAACCACTTTCGTCAAAGAAACAATCAATGAAGAAGTTCAAGTACACATGAACAGAAATGACATTCGCCTTTATGAAACCAGCAAACCAGCGCCATAAAATAAAATACCTAAAAAACCATATTCACCACGAGAAATCGTTCTGGATATTATTTAATATTATTTAACGCTCCGTCGAATGAATATATATATATATATATATATATATATATATATATATATATATATATATATATATATATATATATATATATATATATATATATATATATATATATATAAAATACAAATCATATGGCTAATAACAACCCTCTCAAGCGTACTGGATCCACCAAGGGATCACGTGTGTCAGGGATTAATTAAAATATATGCAATAAACTGACGACGAACAGTACGAAACTAGTAACTAACTAGCCTAAGCGCTTTCGACTCTTAATGAGTCTTTTTCAAACGTTGTACAACGTTTTCAGTTTCCGCAACTAGTCTATACAAGCTGGTTGTATTTATAGTTTTAGCACATGTGAAGACAGAAATGTAGAGGTTTACAAACACAACGTTTTTGTGTTTATTTGTTTGTCGTAACTATGTGTTGTATTTGCCTTTGAAAAAGACTCATTAAGAGTCGAAAGCGCTTAGGCTAGTTAGTTACTAGTTTCGTACTGTTCGTCGTCAGTTTATTGCATATATATATATATATATATATATATATATATATATATATATATATATATATATATATATATATATATATATATATATATATATATATATATATATACTATTTTAAGGAACCAGTTTGACAGAGTACTATATAAAACTCACCGAAGTGTACTAATTCAGTACCACCCTTCTCATCGTCTCAGCGTTTACTTTTCTGTCTGTAGAATGTTTTTCATCACTTTTTCTCTCAGTTGGTTTGCTACTCTGTGTGTATACTTAGCTCTCGCTCTATGGAACAGATAAACAACAACATTCGATCCTAAGATATATCCTATTGAACAGAACGACTCCTATTGAACAAAACGACAAAGGACTAAATTTGTTTTCGTACTATGATAAACACTTTCACAGAGAAATTACATTATCATTATCTTCCTGTTGGTAAATTGTATTTGGCTCTTAGTATTACAAGAAATCTTGAACAAATTATTCTATTCACTAAAGGAAATTTTACCGTGAAGTTTTGAAAACGATTCTCAGTTAATAGTAACTCATTTATCATGTGTATTGAATAGCTCAAATCTGCTTTTCGTACGGTGGTACTTATTTAAAAACCTATGATACCTCAAGGCCTGCATGCTTTAAAAGCTGTGAGAATAATATAGAAAAGAAAAAGGAATTTGTCCAAAACGTACTCATCGAATAAACAAAGTCCAAGCAAATGTTTATGAAAGTAGACAAGAAAGACGTGTTGATTTAGACAGGAAAAGAAATCCTTTGTTGCCGAGAAACGGCGATAGATCCACTTCATATACATGTCCTATTCAGGGACTACTGGTTCAATACTTCAAGGTATTAATTCTCGTCTACGCCATAAGAAGAATAAGGCAGTCAACAATTTACTGCATTCATTGTTCAACTAATTGGATATTTGTTTAAACAGCAAACTGGTCAGTAGCTTTTTTGACCTACTGAAAAGAAGCCAAAAACATAAGTGGATGCATTGGTAGCGTGGAAGCCGAACAGCCTGGATGCCTACAACGACAAGGAGTTGACCGAAGTTACTGATCCTTACAGTATTGGATTTAACAGAACAACCGCTAAATGTAAAAAGAACGTCGTTTTGAAAAGATGAATCGTTCATACTTGCACGTGTTGTTGCGAGACACGTATTTGTTGAATGGTGTGCTTGTTCGTCTCAGCCTGAAACGAAGTAGCTGCTTGTTCCATTTGATGGCAAATGCCAAATAGTAAAAAATGGACACCCAAGACAGCAATCAGAAACACTAAGATAAGAAGAAGAGAAAAAGAGAAAAAGACAACCTTGGTGTCACGATGTCCAGAACAAGAGAAATATATAGTCTTCTGTTTTCGTACACCTTGGCTAAAACAATCACACTTCTGACAGGAGAACTTTGTTATGGTATTCTAATCAATAAACTTTGCCAAGTGCAACACAATAATGTATTTTGATGCGCCACGACAAAAAGTTGTATGAGTGTCTAGAAGAAGTATAGACACTCATCCCAGACAACATAAATCTTGAAAGAATGGTGTAACGATTTGAGTTACCAATGCTTACCTCCAGTGACGTCTTTGGAGACGAAACTCATCGAAACTATCTTGCAACAAAGACCAAAACCTCCCACTCATCAACTTACTTGATAGATCTTTTAAAGAAAATGTTGAGTGTCAACTCATTGTCTATCACTATATGTGAAGATGAATATATGAAAACGGCCTTGCATTGTGATCCAGAGTTCGTACGCAACTTCTGGGAAAACAGACGGACTTCCTTGCTGAAAACTTAAAGGATGCACGAGGTTATGCCATCAACATGGGTGATAGTCATCGCCAAGAATCAATGGGTAACCCTTCACTTTCCCAAGGAACATTGTATGTACTAATTTTAGTCCTATGGGTCACGTCCCCTGTATGACGATGTTATAGGCTTTATGCGAGGAAATGTAGTATCCACACAATTCAATAACGTGAGATTACTCTTTATAACAGACAGCTCCAGTAGCCTAAGTGGTTAGGGCGTCCACCTCGGATGAGGGAGGTCGCGGGTTAGAAATCCGGCCAATTCATACCATGGACTTATAAAAATGGTACCAACTCGCGTTAGGCGCTCAACTTTAAAAGGTTTATGTTAGGACTGGTCGGACTTGTGTCAGGATAAAGTGACTGTGTGGGACATGCCACATGTGTATGACATGATGTTCCAGTGATAGACATTATTATAAATTACACACGGCAGATATCGTTGCGATATGACTGAAAAAATGTTAAAACTATGCTAAAAATCCACCCCACCTCTCTCTCTCTCTCTCTCTCTCTCTCTCTCTCTCTCTCTCTCTCTCTCTCTCTCTCACACACACACACACACACACACACACAAACACTATAATATTGCATATTTTCTTCATCATTGCGGTGTTGGATTGCCAATGTCTGGAAATAATTTTTTAGTGGATACCACCTTTTCCAGTGTAACTGGTAGTGTGTGGATGAATGCGTACATGTATTAGAAAATTCTTGTCTAAGTTGAGAAAGATGTCCAAGAAACAAATAAAATTAACTGTTTGTCGCAAATCCATTTTCTTTCCCTCTCCTCGTTTCGCAACAACAGCCTAGACATAAATTTCAATTACAGGATATAAAACTAGCATAGAGGTACACCAACATTCTCTCTATTGTGCTTGTTGCAAATGATCACAGTTTCACATTATATCAGTCTCGGTTTCAGACGTATCTCCAAACTGTAGAGTCGAACCATTATAGTAAAACTTTCCCTACAGTCAGTTAACGTAGACTGTCCAATATCGAGTGATATACTATTTTGACAGTGTTTATGTTGGTTAATATATTCTCATATTACAGGCATCTTTTATGATGGTGAGAATAGCAGCCCTAGATTCTCTCCTTTTTGACATCTACAATACCCCCCCAAAGCATCAAACTACTGGTGTCTGATGTATATTTAAGATGATCACAACATTATATACACCCTGGTAAACTTTAACGTGCAATTAATGGTTCATGGCGCTCTTTATAATTATTAAACTCTCTGCAATTATGATAATTTTATTGATACGTTTTCTTGTAAATCAGGGAAGCTGTCATTAAGATGGATCAGTAAAAGTATGTACATCAAATCTATGTTTATTCCTTTCGATACGTGCTGACTGGTTTATCATACAAATTTCGTTTCTGAAATTATAAAATAAATAACATTATAGGTCAGTACAGTTAGTATTGACAAGAACTTAAAATGTTTTTTTGCTAATATTGCTATTTAAATATGTATTTCGATTAATGAAAGAGCAGTGCGATTATACATTTAGTTGATGAAACACCAGTTTAGATATTTAGCAACTCTAATTCAATTAGTATTGAAATATGCTAAATTTGTGAAACCTGACTTCAAAACCAACATGCCAGGGCCCCGAGTAGCCGAGTATTCCAAGGCGCTCGCTTTTGCACATTACTCACACATATCTGTCCGTGTGAGTCTCGCGGTTCTACCAACGTGATTACATGAGAAAGCTGGCCAGTAGCTTCACCTGCATCCATGGTCCATGGTCTTCCCAATTTCTTCCTTCACCAAATACACTGGCTACCTTGTATAACCTGTCATGTGCTGAAAACGGTGTTATATCCACTAGCCAAACCAAGCAACAACAAAACATTCTAAACAACAAAATTGACTAAATTCCTCCCTTTTCAAACACTTCATGCAATATTAACCTCAGTTACAACTTTGTTACATGCCCTCACTCGTGTGTCGTTTATTGGTATCGGCCTTATTCTTGTTATCATAAGTCGTAAAGGTTCATGTGGTGTTGGTGATGGTTGTTACTGTTCTTTGTTTTGTAACGCTCATTTAGTATTAGGCCTACTATTTGGGATGATTATATAAATTAGTTCTTTTGCCATAGTTTTTCAATCGACATTTTTGTCCTCTTTCTTTAAATACTATTTAAAAAATTGCTTTTCATTGATCTCTCTCTCTCTCTCTCTCTCTCTCTCTCTCTCTCTCTCTCTCTCTCTCTCTCTCTCTCTCTCGATGGAATCTGCACCCTCTTTTTTCATCTTCACTTTTAAAGTCATGCTTCCTGTCAATCTCTCTCTCTCTCTCTCTCTCTCTCTCTCTCTCTCTCTCTCTCTCTCTCTCTCTCTCTCTCTCTCTCTCTCTCTCTCTCTCTCTCTCTCTCTCTCTCTCTCTCTCGATGGAATCTGCACCCTCTTTTTTCATCTTCACTTTTAAAGTCATGCTTCCTGTCAAATGTACTTTGCAATGACCTGTAGAAAAAAAAAAAAACGATCATCGATGTCAATTGAAATTAATTGGTGTCAATCTAGAAATTTAGTTACTTTAATGAAACAAACTCAGGGAATGTCATTTAATTGTATTAATCTCACAAGAATCAAATTGTGCTCACCAGTTTAACTAGAGACTGCATATTAACAAATTTAACGACTATAGGTTCACTAATGAAATAATTTTCTTTACCATTTATGTTATAGATCTTGACGTAATCAGTAATATGTCATTCTTTAAAAAAATACGTCCTGGGTTTATCTACAAAGAGTGATATACCTAATTATATAAACATGTCGATTTTTTATTGTAAAATTCTCTATTTCTCCATAATTCTTTATCTACTCCCATTTTTCACACTTGTACTTATCGGGTTGATCCACTTAACAGTTTACTTAATTTGAGCCATCGGGGAATAAACTTCGTCCAGATAATTGTGGTATGGGTGATAAAATTTTGGTTCAAAAGTCGAACTGCAAATGGAAATACCTGGAGAGAATATATAAGTACATGTTAACATATTGCAGGCATTTAAAATGCTTTCAGGAAGAAAATGTGCACAAAAAACGTTTAGGTTACTCTTTTATTCGATACTAATATTCATTAGGCCTTTATGGTTTAACGATTACACTTACGTGTATGATATGAAATATTTACTCAGACTATCAATGACGAACGATATCACAGGCGTGATCAGGTGGTCGGTCGTTTTAACTGCCTCGTGGTCACAAAGGACTTTGAAGATAAACTTGACTGACATGGATTATATATGCTGGTAGGGGATTGACTTTCTTCACCCACAAAGTCACCAGTGATATTTGATTGATTACTTTGCGTGGACCTGTTTGATTAACTTGTGATTTGTTTGCAACAAATCACATAATAGCGATAATGGTGTAAACATAAATATAAATTTCCTTGCGTCTCCCTCTTCTCCTATCGTAATTCATTTATTAAACTAGTTTAATTTTTAGAAACAATACAGAATGAATTTCAACGTAAGGTTTTTAGTCAACACAACCCAAAAAGACAAGAAAATCAACTCTTGTGAATTTTGCATGCATTAGTATGCATAAACAGCAAATCACTCGCATATGGACAAGATATTTTGCCCAATGCATTCATACTGCAATGTTGCAAGAAATACAGCATATTGATTGACTGTGTAAAGATACTTGGCAAAGCTTGTAACACCGTTTTTATATATGTGCATGTATATGAGGTCTCTTATGCAGCATTCGTTTTCCCGCATCTGGTTTAAGACTCAGGTCCCTAATGGAAGGGACACCACAGTCCTGAACACAGACGTTTGGTGTCATCGTGAAACATCAGCTGCACGAGTCTTGCAAGGCTATATTAATCATAGAATCTTAATGTAATGTTTATCCCGTTTACATATTTGGGAAGGCACTGGAGTATAACTATAAAGTGTTTTCTGCCTTGATCAGATTTGCATTTACAAAAACTACAAATAGGGGAGACGATATTGGTTGAATTGGCTTTTGAATGGACAGATAGTGGAAACCATGTTCGTTGGATTTGTATAAGGTGGCTTTTTAAGGGACAGATGGGGGAGACGTAGTACTGCCGAAATTTGTGTCAACTGGTTTTTTAAGGGGAGGACGGGGAGACAGTTGCTTGAATTTGTGTCAGTTGGGTATTTAAGGTTACTTATTCTGCAAACAGTTCTGGTTCAATTTGTGTCAATTGACTTTTTCAGGAACTGATGGGGAGACAATTTTGGTTGAATTTGTGTCAATTGACACTTTACGGAACTGATGGGAGACGTAGTGCTGAATAAATTTGTTTAAATTGGCTGTTGAATGGACAGATATGGGAGACAGTGCTGTTTGAGTTTGTGTCGATTGAATTTTTAGGGTCAGATAGGGAAGAAATAGTACATGTTGAATTTGTAAGGGCAGGGGTGCGGACAGCGTAAGACAACTAGGACAAAATTCCTGGAGCCAAACCGCCGTCACAATTTTTAATTCATAGGGGCCTACTGTATATATTTTCCTCGGGCCCACAAATCCTGTCGGCGGACTTGGATGGGGAAGACAGTGCTGGTTGAATGTTTCAATTTACTTTTTAGGGACAATTGGGGAATACATATTGCTGGTTGAATTTGTCAACTGGCTTTTAAAGAGACAGATAGGAGAGACAGTGCAGTTTAAATTTGCCTTGACTGGCTTTTTAATGTCTTAGATACTCTTGCCTTTATGGAGAATTCGGTCGGCGTCCCGAGGAGACCATAAAAGGTGTGCGTTTTTCAGTGATCTTTCTTGAATATTAGAATATGGTGGTACGAGAGAGAGAGAGAGAGAGAGAGAGAGAGAGAGAGAGAGAGAGAGAGAGAGAGAGAGAGAGAGAGAGAGAGAGAGAGAGAGAGAGAGAGAGAGAGAGAGAGAGAGAGAGAGTTGCTTATTCTTGTTTTTGTTATCTGAGTTTCTTTCCAACAGAGTATTGACTCTCATCTCAAATGTAGACATGTATATTAGCTGCTTCCAATAGAATGTAAGTGGCACATCGGATGGAAGGAATTGTGCAGTATGCATAAACATTCTTTGATTTTGCCCCCCTTTTCCCTCCCGACCGTAAAAAGTCCTCCGCAAATGCTTTTTAATATATTGTTTCCTTTGCTAAGGCTAACAACGCGTGTTGCACTGCAGCATATCTCAATAATAATAATGGTTGTTGTTGTTGTTGTTGGGCTTAACGCCATTTTTCAGCACACGATAGGCTATTCATAGCGGCCAGTATTAATGA